AATCTGTCCTTTGTTGACAAATTTGTTTTAATTTTTTTTCTGAAAATTGTCGACAAAAAAATATTTTCTTTGGTTAAAATCAAAATCACGCGAATTTAAGACCCATTTCTGGACGAAATTCTAAGGTAATGATGAATAATAAATCTGGGAATCTATAGTGTATATTATTTCAATCTCATTTCAGAATAGAGGCGTCAAAAAGTTGCAAGAATTCAAGAGAAGTAAAGAATTAGTGGAGGAGATGCGGAAGCTCAAATAAGGGGAAAGAAAGCATCTAGGTACCAATGCAACAGGAGGCAGCGACAGCTAGGATGGCGATCAATGAATGAAATGTGTAAAATAATTAAAAAAAAAATAAATATTTTATACCATTGAAAAAATAAGCTTGATATAATATTACTTTCGTAAGCTTATTCTGCAATTACAAGAATAAGCTTATGAATAAGGGTTCCCTTTCGATTTTTCTATAATTGTTAAACAAGCATTTCTCAATACATTCTCAAGATTTTCTCAAGCTTAAGGCTTATGTGTGAAAGCTTATTAAAATATTATTCTCAAGTCAATTTGGTATGTTGGGATGTCATCTATATTTGTTTATGTATGTGTCTTCTTTTCAATAACAAAAAAATTATTCAGAAAACCCAACATACCAAATTGACTTGAGAATAATATTTTAATAAGCTTACAAACATAAGCCTTAACCCAACATACCAAAAATACAATACAGCTTGAGAATAATATTATGAAAATAGTTTATCGTAAGAATTCCTCAACAATGCTAGAGAAAAACTTTTTTGCACAAACTTTTCTCAAATCTGTCCTTTGTTGACAAATTTGTTTTTATTTATTTTTTTTTTTTGTGAAAATTGTCGACAAAAAAAATATTTTCTTTGGTTAAAATCAAAATCACGCGAATTTAAGATCCATTTCTGGACGAAACTCTAAGGTAATGATGAATAATAAATCTGGGAATCTGTAGTGTATATTATTTCAATCTCATTTCAGAATAGAGGCGTCAAAAAGTTGCAAGAATTCAAGAGAAGTGAAGAATTAGTGGAGGAGATGCGGAAGCTCAAATAAGGAGAAAGAAATCATCTAGGTGTCAATGCAACAGGAGGCAGCGACAGCTGGGATGGCGATCAATGAATGAAATGTGTAAAATAATTAAAAAATAAATATTTTATACCATTGAAAAAATAAGCTTGATATAAAATTACTTTCGTAAGCTTATTCTGCAATTACAAGAATAAGCTTATGAATAAGGGTTCCCTTTCGATTATTCTATAATTGTTAAACAAACATTTCTCAATACATTCTCAAGATTTTCTCAAGCTTAAGGCTTATTTTTGAAAGCTTATTAAAATATTATTCTCAAGTCAATTTGGTATGTTGGGAAGCTTGAGAAAATCTTGAGAATGTATTGAGAAATGCTTGTTTAACAATTATAGAATAATCGAAACGGAACCCTTATTCATAAGCTTATTCTTGTAATTGTAGAATAAGCTTACGAAAGCAATATTATCTCAAGCTTATTTTTTCAATGGTATAAAATAGTTATTTTTTTCATTTTTTTTAATTATTTTACACATTTCATTCATTGATGACCATCCCAACTCTCACTGCCTCCTTTTGCCTTGGTCCTAGATGCTTTCTTTCCCCTTATTTGAGCTTCTGCATCTCCTCCACTAATTCTTCACTTCTCTTGAATTCTCGCAACTTTTGACGCCTCTATTCTGAAATGAGATTGAAATAATATATACTACAGATTCCCAGAATAATTATTCATCATTACCTTAGAGTTTCGTCCGGAAATGGTCCTAAATTCGCGTGATTTTGATTTTAACCAAAGAAAATATTTTTTGTCGAAAATTTTCTCAAAAAAAAAAAAAAAATCAAAACAATTTTGTCAACAAAGGACAGATTTGAGAAAAGTTTGTGCAAAAAAGTGTTTCTCTAGCATTGTTGAAAAATTCTTACGATAAACTATTTTCATCATATTATTCTCAAGCTGTATTGTATTTTTGGTATGTTGGGAACATTCAAAATCGGGTGTTTTCAAAATGTTTATTTCAACGTATGCATCGACAAAATCTAGAGTTTTTGTAGCGAAATAATCCTTTAGAGATATATAGTAAATGATTTTGAAAAGAAGTGTCGACCTTTCATTCAGTTATAGCTGTTTTCAATTATTTATTCAAAATAAATGCAACAAGTTGTTTGATTTTTTATTGTTTTGATACTAATTCTGACATTACAAGCCAAACAGGTAGACCTCTATACTCGCATTTTTTTCAAAGTTGACCTACCTTCTCTTCATTGTACCATGGATTGTTCTCTTTGATATCTTTGTGGTGCGAATCGGTTTCGGTCATATGAGGAAGCTTATTCGAATCCAAACTGCTGAAAATTCCATGACTGTGTGATGGTATAACTTTAAATAAAACTCATTCCAGTAGGCCTGGGTCTATATCATAACGTAGCCACATTTTAATAATTGTTGTAAAAATACCTGATAACACTCAAGCATATTGGAAAATGGAAATATTGGAAATGTAGAAATTGACCTACATTTTCTCTAACTAATAGGTTAAGCTCTACATAAGAAGCAATGACGTATCCCGAAGTACCGAACCTAACCTAACATTTACAAATGTAAAGGGGTGGATATTTTTAATTTTTCTCATATATCATCGAGGTGAGCTACCTAGTTTTCTACCAAAGTCAAAACCTCCATGCTCCATGACAAAGTAGGGTACACAAATATTATCAATTTATTTGTTTAATTCGATTTTTTTCTCAGCGATGTGTTAACAGCTAGATGGAAATGTGAGTTTGTTTAAGAAATTCACAAGATAACCGTATAATTGAATTTTATTAATAAGGTCAATATAAAATGTGAAACATCTGGAATATTTCCAGGAACAAAAAAATTCAAACAATCTGTCACTACAGTCATTTGACAAATAGCCTTTGTCTTGTGGGATGTGGAGGGTTAGTAATTTAAGACTTAGAAAAAAGGGGCTATAGTCAAGCTAAGGCCGGTCTTATGTGAAAGAGTTTGAATACATCTAAATCGATTGAACGAACTAGTCCCTTATCTAGTTTCCTGGGCTCCGGTCGTTTGCATGGCAATTCTGCATATGAGTGATATGAAATTTATGAAATCACTCATACACAGTTACCGACAGATGTATACCCTCAGCCAATGTTCGATTATTAAAATATATTTTGACTTTATGATTATTAAAATTGTTGAACCTCTATATAGTAGGTTCCGAAGGAAAGGGCCAATATTGTCCATTTCGTATCGGACCTAAATAAATATGATATAAATATTGCGACGTGCCAGGTTCCGACTATATTGGTTACTTTCTTCACTTTATATGGGATATGTGATAATTTTTAGAAAATAGTTTATGGAGGATAATAGTGTCTTTTTGTGGATGAAGTGCCAGATGGGGTTCGCAGATATATATGACCAGATCTTGTGTTAGCAAAAATCTTGTATGTGTGAAATTTAAAGAGAGTTGGATGCTTATTTCGCGTTCTTTGAGCGTTTTTGTTTTTCAAATCTTGAACCCTATGTGGGGGAAGTACCAGAAGAAATGGTCCGATCTCTATCATATTTATATCAGATCTTGTGTTGATGATAAATTTTGAGATGTACCTAGTCTGGATCCTTTGTGGGTGCTCCCAGCAGGGGAGGACCAATTTCTCCCGCCTTTACACCAGATCTTGGGTGAATAAAAATATTGTGACCTGATAAATATGAGGAGAGTCGGAAGCTTATTTCGAATTTTATAATCGTTTTGGTTATTCCAATCAATGGAGGAGGTACCACAAAAAATGGTCCGATATAACATATATTTTGTTAATAGAAATATTAAGATGTGCCAAGTCGGAATAGAATCGGTTGGCCACCAAAACTCAAGTGCCGGCCATGGTGATGGTGTGGGCCGCCATAACAGCCGATGGTCGCTCTCCGCTCTCATTAATAAATGCCAAATATTATCGCGAAAATAATCTGGAGGGTGTATTGAAGCCTTGGACCTACAAACATTTTGCCCACAGAACTTGGACATTCCAACAGAACTCAGAACCATCGCTCTCAGCACCATGTGCCAAGTCTGAATGGAATCGGATGTTAATTTCGCGATTTATGAGCTTCATAGTTAGTTATTCAAATTTTTGACTCTTTGTGTGGGAGGTACATTTTGGAGTGATCCGATATATACCATCTTCATACCAGACCTTGGGATAATAAGAATAATGTGATCCGTGTAATTTGGAGAAAGTCGGACTCTCAAATCACATTTTATAAGAGTTATAATTATTCAAAATTTTGACCCCTATGTGGAGTAGGTACTTGATGGAGTAGACCCATGTTGTCCATTTTCGCACCTGACTTAGAACTGATGCAAATACTAGGATTTTCAAAGCTGAAGCAAAATCGGATTATCCTTTCTGTGCAGACATTGCCCATCTCCGAACTCGATCTAAGTTTGATAATAATATTACGATGTACCAAGTTTGGAACAAATTCGGATACTCCCTTCGAGAGTTATCGTGCTCACCAGCCAGCCACACAGAGGCCTAGCGACTAAAACCGTTATTTCGATGAGACACGTTTTGGCCGTTTCAAATGATATATACCCTCTGTAGGCATATGGCTGAGGGTATAATAAAACTTTAGCTGTACCCAACAGCATTTTTTTTTCGTTTTAGCTCCAAAATTTTGGACAAATTTTCTATATGCTAATTTACTGCAAAACTTAAATCAATTTCAAGAGTTCTGTTTGTTTTGAACTCCGCGCTCATCAGAATGTGAAAGCATGGACTTCCCCTTTAAAATTAGATCCATTAAATTCAACACCACCCACACCAATGTGCTGCGTTTTCAAATTATCAAAATACCAACAACGTTTAAGCTAACTAACTAACGAAATTATAAATTTTAATTATTTATCCTCCACCCCCTCCTCTTTTTTGCCTATTTGCAGAAGGTATCAACATTGCGTCTCTGGGCCAACAAACAGTAATCACCATCATCAATAATAGTCGAGGCAACGGCAAAGCCATTGATACCATAAGCCAAAATAATAACAATACGAATAACAACAACAACAATAATAATAGTACCAACAACAACAATAACACCAGCGAGGGCAAAGTCACACGAAGTAAATCATTCAAAATGGGTCGATGGGGTCGGCAAAGTCCCGTCCTAGAGCCAGAGCCGCCGCCACCAGCATCCCCACCACCTCTGCCGCCACGTCACCATGCCTTCATGCGTCAGTCGAGTTTTACCAAAATTGGCAATATGCTCAACACAGCCATGAATGGAACCAAAAAACCTCAAAGTAAGTTGAGTTTTGTGTTTTTGTTTTTGTTTTCTTTCGATTTCCAAAAGTTTTATTATTTTATTACCACACCAAAACACCAAAAAACGAACGCCAACAAAAGCAACACCACAGAAAACGACTTGAAGGTGTGAATTAGTCAGTGGTTTCGTTTTCAATTAACACCCCTTATCTTTGTCCAAACACACATGGAAGATGATGGAATTTATTTAATTAGCACCAGAGACCTGAAAATTTGTTGCAGGGGATAGCCAATCTTCTGAACGGCTGGATTGTTACAAACATAAACATTTCAATTATTTGTTTATTATTTGTGATTTTCAAAAAAACGATGCGTATGAAGTTGATATTTTTCTGGCGTACAGAGTTTTGTTTACCTAGTTTATGTTTTTTGCAGTAGTTGTTGTTCATTGAACTCAAATCACGTGATTATCTTTATCTTGTGGATTTATTAAAGTGTTGGTTGGTAGCATATATAAAAATATTTATTGATTATTCCCGTGGAATTTACTACCGACAATTATTCCTGCAGGGGTGCTAAAAATCCCAGAGATCATTCGAACTAAATTAATATTGCAAAGAGTGCCATCTACATTTCAATACTGGGCGAATGAGTTATTATATTTGAAACATTAATTGATGAGCATACTTTTAGGCGTGTAAAAGACTACCAAATGTTTAACAATCTGTCGAGAACATATTATATTATGGGGTTTAGCGAAATATATATCTAGTTTTTGTTGTGTATGTGTGTATAAAGTGTGAGATGAAAAAACTGCAACCAACTTCAGACTGCCGTCATTACTAAGACACTCGTCCGACTGCTGTTAAAATTATTCCAGTGACAGCTCATTATATTGTTTACAAGCATACAAAAGCATTTTGCTAAGAATTTTCCAGCAAAACAGTTATTCGTCATGGAATTCAAGCGTAATAGTGTGATTTCTTTATTTTTGGCTGAAAACCCACAAGTGGCTATCGTTAGAGCACTCCAGCATTTAAATGTGAATAAATCTTTTGTGAATCGTACCATCGCTCGTTACTGTGATACGTAGCCCGACGTCAAGGGAGTGGATGGAAGAAAAAATCAACATCAGCAGAAATGGTTCGAAAAGCAAAGAAGCGACTTGATTGAAACCCTCGTCACAGTGGCTCGTGAGCTGAACATATCGCAATATTCCATTCAGAAAATATTGAAAAACGAGCTCGGGGTAAAGCCATTGAAATTCCAAAAAGTGCAAGAACTTACACCGCAAGAGAAAGAAAATAGACTCAGAAGAGCTAAAGACTTGCTACGCTTGGCCGAAAGTGGTGAACTGCCGAATTTGGTTTTCTCCGATGAGAAAACATTCGTTGTCCAGTAATTTGTAAACAATGATCGTGTTAACTTGCCAAAGAGGTCAGCTGAAAATGTGCAACTTCGGTTGGCCACCAAAACTCAAGTGCCGGCCATGGTGATGGTGTGGGCCGCCATAACAGCCGATGGTCGCCCTCCGCTCTCATTAATCGACCTTGGCATTAGAATAAATGCCAAATATTATCGCGAAAATATTCTAGAGGGTGCCTTGGACCTACAAACATTTTGGCCACAGACCTAGGACATTCCAACAGAACTCAGCACCATCGCTCTTAGCACGCGCCACATGGCCACCAAAATCTCCGGATACCAATCCGTTGGACTATTGTGTCTGGAGTATTTTGGAAAGCAAGGCTCGCACTAAAAAATACCAAAATATCGATCACCTCAAGCAAGCGCTTCGCCTGGAATGATCCAAAATACCGCAGAGCAACATTCGGGCAGCATGTGACGGTTTCTTTGGCCGTTTGAAGGCCATAATTCGTGCGAAAGGTGACCAATTCAAAGAAATCTAAACTTATTCTAAAATTTATTTCCGACATAAAATTTAATTTTTATTAAAAAAAAAGTAAAAATTATGGCGTTTGACTCTGTTGCAGTTTTTTTATCTCACCCTGTATAGTACGGATATCCAAAACCAGCTCCTTCTTTCAACTACAGACATCAATATCAAATTTCAGATCTATTTCTTCACCCAAAACCACATTTATTGACACTTAGTACTCTTCGTACAATTTTAGTACTCATTTGCATAACCGTTTCATATCTCCATAATCCTAGACACCAACAGATGTCGCATTGTAAAATACCAAAAACCAAATGTAGTACCTTTCAGTACTTTTCGTACAATTATAGCACACATTTCCGGAACCACCACCATATCTTAATTCCAGATACCAAGAGAAACCTCGATATCAAATTAGGGGATTCCAAGCCCTGACCCTTAACCTAATACTAAATATAGAACCATTCACTACTTTTCGTACAAATATGAGACTCATTTGTAAACCACCGCCACATCTTTAACACAGACACCATCAGTAATCTAGTATACTTTTCCGACAACTCTTCTATATGTCCCCGCTACGCATGAGCCGCAAATTCAAATACCTAATTTCAGATTTCAAGCACTATGTTCAACCAATGCCAAATTGTACCAAATTTTGTACTTTTGGTACAATTATAGTACACATTTCCAAAACCACCTCCATATCTTAATTCCATATTCCAACAGAAACCTCGATATGAAATTTGAAAATTCCACCCTATCTTCACCCAACTCCAAATTAAGTACCATTAAGTACTACTCATACAAATATAGGACGCATTTCCAAACCCACCTCCAAATCTCAACCCCAGATACAACCTAATATCCAATTTCAGGATTTCAGGATTTCAGCTCTATCCCTTCGACTAAGTCAAAATTTAGTACTTTTCGTACAATGATAATACACACTTCTAAAACCAACTTAATATGTTAAGGCTACACATGCACCAGCGATCCTAATACTAGATTTAAAATTTCAAGCACTATATGTTCACCCAATACCAAATTGTACCAAATATAGTACTATTTAGTACTTTTTGTTTCGTTTACACTCTTAGTACACATTTCCAAAACCGACTTCATATATCAAACTTATCTTCCCACCTTGATTCTCATACCAAATTTCAAGTTTTTAGCTCTATCCGATCACATAATACCAAGTGGCACCATTTTCAAGGTTTAAGTACTATTTTAGAACTTTTCGTAAGCTTAAAGTTCGAATTTTCAAAAACCCTTTGGAACATATATCCTGCACTCTATCAGTGACTCTCATTCCAAATTTCAGAATTCTAGCTCATTCCGTTTGTCCAATACGAATACATTTTAAAGTACATTTCGTAACCTTTCAGTACGAATTTCAAAAGACCCAACCTTATCACACGCCTACGCACCAAGACTGATCCTCGTGCAAAATTAGAAGATTCTAGCTATATTTTTTAATAGAACAGTGTGGCTTGTTTGTTCGGGATACCGTAGTATTTTGTTGTTGCAAAATGGTCAGGCTTATCCCTTTATTGTTGTTTTTATAAAAACAACGTTTGTTGATTAGTGGAGAACTATGGTAATGTTTACCAGGGGGTAAGGCAGGGAATACCTAGTTTTCGGAAAGAGCCACCAATCCTTATCAGTTCCCTTGTTTTTTGTCTAGGATATTCTCCCCAGTAGTTATTTTAAAAATAACTTCTATGACAAAAAGCATTTTTTTTACCCAAGTGACGAGATCGTAAGCTCAATAGAAGAGGAACCAAAGAATTAAATAAAACTAAAATTCCTTTGGAAAGTCTTCTAAATCTTACAACCGCACTTATAAACATTTTCATCTTTCTCCACTTGTTGTGCTTTCGTTCAACCTGAACGAAGTAGCATAACCATGTAAGTTGGTTTTGACTGTTACAACAAAAACCCCTTCGTCGACCGTGCCTTGCCTTGGTTCCTCTTCTATTAAGCTTACGATCTCGTCACTTGGGTAAAAAAAATGTTTTTTGTCATAGAAGTTATTTTTAAAATAAGTGAGCACTTGCAGTTGCTTTTCAATAATTATACCATGTGCGAACGGATAAAAAAGTCCCAATAGATATTTAAAACACACTCAGTCAGATATCGCATTCAATACCAACAAGCATTGCTTGTCGTCTAGTGTTTACAATTGTGGTAGGTAATGCCGTTTACCATCAAATGTGTTTGTGGTAATACTGTTCATATCGAAATATTTTCTCACACACGAATGCCGTATAGATGGCGCCTGTAGTCCGTACAAATTTAAACGACTCATAGATGCCATGACTATAAAGCATGAGTTTTGACATACACCCACATTATAATAAGGTGGTTCTTGGTTAAAAGTGTTTCGAAACGATAAAACATTAAGAAGGAAACGAGAATCACTTTCTGAGGCGATTTATGCATGTCAGTCAGTCCTTCTGTCCATGTATTTTTGTGGACAAAATGCAGGTTGCATTTATTATCCGATTGAGATGAAATTTTCCAAACAATATTTGTTTGGCCCAGTCTAGAAGTAAGTACATCAAATTTGGGGAAAATCGGTTCAGATATAGCTATAGCTTCCACATATATGTTTCATCCGATTTGGTGTTTTAAGTCCCTCACATGCATAATATGCCCTCGACAACAATGTTATTTGATACAGGGCATCAGATAGTGCTCGAAAATACCTCCGTCAAATTTTATGGAGATCGGCTCAGATTTGTTTTACCTTTGATATACATCTTCATCCAATCTAACGGTACTGCTCACCATATATGTAATATCAGCCCAAATTTAATTGATTTTCTCATATTCAACCGAATTTTACCATTTGGTAAAACTCAGCCCGGTATATATATTGCTCCAATAAATATTTGTATACCCTCCACCATAGTATAGAGGGTATATTAAGTTTGTCATTCCGTTTGTAACACCTCGAAATATACATTTTAGACCCCACAAAGTATATATATTCTTGATCAGCATAAAATTCTATGTCGATTTACTCAAATGTATATTATGTCTGCAGGACTTTTGGTATTGAAAATGGGTTATGAAGGTCCACGTTTTGGTATAGCCCCCATATAACTGTACCTCCCTATATTCGGCATT